AAACATAACAGAAATTTAATATGTGGCTGAATGAGGAAATTAGATTAAAAGAATAAAATTCGATCTTACGATGTAAAACTATTATTAATTTATAGAATTTATTTACATTTAACATTTTTTTCTCCAATTCTTTACGTTTTGCTTCATTCTTGTTGGTTCCTGAATGAGGAAAATAGATTAAAAGAATAAAATACGATCTTTAGATGTAAAACTATTATTCATTTATAGAATTTATTTACATTTAACATTTTTTTCTCCAATTCTTTACGTTTTGCTTCATTCTTGTTGGTTCTGTCTGACTAAAACATTGTTCRACCCAGTAAAAGCAGTTCTGTAAAGCAGCGGTTCTGAAGCAGCCCCCCCCCCTCCTCCTCCTCCTCCCCTCTCCCTCCTCCAGTGGTGTAGTCTACATTTTTGTAGTGGGTATACTGTGCTTAGAGTCAAAAAACTGTCCTGAGGACCTACCTAATTTTTCCTTTTGATTTTTCTACCTAGATTACTGAGATGCATCAGGACATTTAGAGACAAAAATGCAATGTAGTGAAATGTAATTGACAATTTATTTGGAGTTTTAAGCATATTTAACATTGCAGTCGTTCTTTGAGCATCTGTCATTTGAATTTTCTGTATTCTTACTGTTATTTTGCAGTTTGTCAAAATGTTTTTGTTTGTGTAAAAGCACTGAGTTGTCTTGTTGCAACTATTAAAAGTAAAAGTAAAAGAGTTTAACTTACAGTTGTCTGAGGGTTTGATGGTGGTCCACTCGTTCCCCTCTGCTGTTCAGTCAGAGCACTTCTGTTAGGGCTGGGCGATATGGCCTAAAATCAATATCACCATATATTGAGCAGCTCACCTGGATAACGATAAATGCACAATAAAGCTTACCACCACCACACACAAGTACAAAGTATAGTATAGTCATAACACTATGCAGCGGGCCTCTTGCAAGAACCGTTCGTACGCACAGATTTGTTCTTAARTTGTGCGTACGAGTGATTTAGGATGATTTGTGGCATTCACCAATGTTTTTCGTATTCTAAGATTTTTTTCAGATACAAACAAAATTCACGAGTGGTCCAGACCTGTCGTATATTTTACGTGGAGTCAGTCTGCTGTTATCCAGACAGGTTTTCTTCACTAAGAACTTTATATTTCGTTATTTAGTAGGCCTGTCACAATAACAAATTTTGCTGGACGATTAATTGTCTCAAAATTTATTGCGATAAACGATAATAT